TGTGTGTGTGTGTGTGTGTGTGTGTGTGTGTTTGTGTGTGTGTGTGTGAGAGAGAGAGAGCGAGAGAGAGAGAGAGAGTGAATATTGTGTATGTGAGTATTTATTGTTGCGACCACCAGGTGGCTGCCGTGTACAAGCATTGAACGCCCACTTCCTCTTAACAGGTGAGCGCACTCATATGACACTCCGGGAAATATCATTATAATGCTTCTGAGAAATTCAAATGCGTCGTATTATGTGTTCTATAAGAATTGTAATCTATTTTGAGAAATAACATAACAGACAGCAGGACTGTTGTAGTTTAGAGTTTACTCTGTCTGCGTTGAACGCCATTTTGGCTCTGGTTGCCTTGACAGCAGGCCTCACTTTCCGGCTCTGGGGAAACTTGAGAGAAATAAATGCATTACTTTAGTATGAGTTGTTCATCTCTGTGCTGTTGTGTGAACTCTTAAATATAGTAATTAGAAGTTATGTGCACGTGATTGACCAAGCCTAGTCATGTTAACTAGTGGGAAACTAGTTTTGCTGTTGCAGGGGGCGTGTCCGCATGAAAGATGGCGGGAAACAAGTCTGCCTAGATCAGGGATGGGCAACTTTGATAGTGATGAGGGCCAGCATTTTTTCTCCTTTATACCAAGGGGCCAGATTACTAATCCACGTCCACACACCTTTTACACCGTCTTACTCAATTTCCTTTTTATTGAAGGAAATGAAAGTATAACTCATTTGTTTTTAAAGATTTTATTAAGTATAAAACTTGTGCAGTTATGCTAATTCAGAAGGAAAACTTTGTTGTCAGTGGACAGGAATATTACCCTGACTAGCCAGTGTAAACATTTCAATTGCATTGTCTGTAAATTTGCAACAAACAAATATACAGAGGTCCTTTTTTTTATTAGTAGCCTACAGAACATTCTCAAAACAACCTAAAAGGACAGTTAAAAAGGGCTTAATAAAAATTTTTAAAAAAAGTTATTCCAAATGGTACCATAAAATAACGGATTTAAATAAAATACAGATTTCCAAACAATCCAAACATATGGGTATCCCCTTGAACTTGGTAAAAAGATAATCTGTTTACCATCTTGACTTGAAAATACTGTTTTCATGGTCAGTTTTTCATTTATTATTTGCTAATGTTAATGAATGTTTACATTAGAGTGCACATCCTACTATGCTGAAATTAATAGGGGAGCGGCTGGAAACTATAGCGACCTCTCCTGGTTGGAGATAGTATTAACATCATAAACTGAAAGCAATCTTTACGTGACTTGCTTTTCAAATGTTTTAAAATTGATCATCCGAGTCTAATATGATCCAGCGGGCCCTGCGGGCCGCCAGTTGCCCATCCCTGGCCTAGATGGTAGCGTTGCAAATTTTCACCGCTATATTTCAGCAATATTGGTGCTAATAGAGCTTATTGCCAACTAATATAGAGAATGACTCTGAATGAAGAATAAATCACCTTCTGCACTTTGCTTTATGATAAGTTTTCTGCAAGGTAAGCTATTGAAAGAGATCATTGTCAGTGTAAATGGCATGCTTAAATACTTACAGAGAAGAGTATTTGACATCATACATTGTTTATTTGGTTTGGCAAATTCTGTATTTTGTTTCTGTTTTGTGCGTGAATGTTAAATACATTTGAAGGCAACATGTTCAATTGGTAAAGAGAAAGTGGATATATGTTTATGCTTATTATTAGTTTGCTAAGGTTTTTACCTTGCCCATAAAGAGATATGTATATGTAGCCTAATAGTTAGCTACACTGTAAAAAATTATTGTGATTTTAACAGTATTTTACTGTAAAATGCTACAGTAAAAACATGTTAACTGGTTAACAGTAAGTTCCCATATACTATATTCGGTGAATAAATGTAATTACATTTAATGTAATTTTACAGTAAAATACTGTTAAAAATACGGTTTTTGGAAGTGAAAAAGAAAAAGTCATTGTATAATTTACAGTGAAAAACCATAAATTGACACTCCCAGAATTCCATGCATGACACTTCATATTTGATTTTTTTTTTTGTTGAAATAACATGTTTCTTAGTTTTTACAATTTATACTGTAAAAAATTAATTATTAATTAGGCCTATATATGTTTTCTCATTATAATACAGTGCTGTTAGATGTATTATGTATATAGTAATTTTAAAAAATATTTTACCTTACATTTTTATTTATTTAATCTTATTTAAATTAATTAATTTTTATTAGTTCATTTTAACTAATATAGAGTTATTCTTTTTTGTATAAAACCCACCAACACTGTGGTTGGTTGCATGTTGGTTGCATGTTGCTTTTTTTGTCGGTGGCAACATGCCACCACAGTGTGGTTGGTATTCCACATCCAAGGTATTCTTGGTGGTTGCTAGGGCATTACTAGGTGGTTGCTTGCTGACTCAAGTCAAAAGATCCCTCCCCTCTGTAATATTCTATCAGAAAATGGATAATTTCTCCTTCACTATAGTCTAGGACTTTTTCGTACATTTTTCGTCTACCAGGCA